TGTGATACATCCTGGATAGATGCTGATGGATGTGTGTTCCATACCCAGCACAAGGGGGCGCTGCCAGGTAAGACAAAGAGGTTACATCCAAGCTTCCTTAACCCGGGTTTGGTGTTCAAGGAAATGAAAAAACCAGTGTATAATCCAAAAGTACATACTTCTCTTCAGTGTGTTGTGGCAAGAAACCAGCAGCAAGAACAAGACACTGCTTTTCCAAAAATGAGTTAAGACTGCGTCCTGAAAAGAGGGCTCACTTGAAGTTTTGAAGTGTGATAATCTCACTGGAGATGATACTGGTGATTTTGGAAATTTGTTCAAGTGGCATCCGACAGAGAAATGTTCAGTATCTTGAAAGACCTGAATCAACCACTTCAGTCCCCAACTATAAAAATTCTTGGCATTGAAAACTGGAGATCTAGATCTCTTAAAATAGGGATGCTGTGTGGTAATCAGCTCCACCCCTGAGAGCTGGAGCCTTTCCCAACCTTGGGTGATTTCCTTCATTCACTGGAAAAATAGTGTATTGTCGGGCATATTTAGAACTCATGCCCAAACATGGTGATAAAGTATGAAGAATTATTCCCAGGGATAGAAACACCCCACGAATGAAATGGACACCTGTCTACTTGCCACTGTCTGCCAGGCTGAAACATTCCATCACTCAGCTTTTGAGTAAGAGCCCATGAACATCAAAACTAGGATGCCAGGAGGTGTCCTGAGGAAAAATCTTCCCAGAGTTTCCAAACACATTTGACAAAGTTTCCAAATATGTGACATTTGCAATGCTCTGTGCATTTTTTTTTTTTTTTTTGGTACGGAGCATTGAACTCAGGACCTTGCACTTGCGAGGCAGGTGGTAGAACCACTGAGCTAAATCCCCAGCCCTGGTCTGTGTATTTGTGGTAAGCTACTCTAATTCAATAGAAATAAGAAGAAAACAAATACAGAAACTCATTTGTGAATCAATCCATTTGTTTTCTATCCAGATATATATGAGATAATCAGGGACTTAAAAGCTGCTTTTGCTTAAAAAAAAAAAAAAAGCACCAACTCTTCACTTGGGCCTACAACTATCCTAAGAGTAAGATAAAGCCTGGGATTTTTGCCTTCATTTTGTATTGTCTCCTTTATTATCTTAAACTTTGGGTGAGATTCTGGCTCAACTCCACATGTAGGCATGTGTTATGGCTTCTATCTAGATGTCCCCTCAACCCTCATGTGGTTATAGGTGGGTTTTTTCAGAGGTGGCTGGATCTGGGGTGTGTGATGGTGGGAATAATGGTGCCTCACCCTGAGTGTGGGTGGCAGCCCCCAAAGTACAGGTAGCCTGGATGAAATGTAAAGGCAAGCTTGGTGGCTGTTGTTGTTGGTTGTTGGTTTGCTGCCTCCTGCCTGCTCTGCAATGCGCCTCTGCCTTGCCACTCTGCCTTGGAGCCAGCCAACTATGGACTGAAACCTCTACAAACTGTGAGCCGAAATAAACCTTTTCTCCTTTAACTCTAGGTGCTGGGTATTTTGTCTCAGCAACAAGAAAAGTAATTAAGACAACATGTTAATCACCTGAGGAGTATCTGCCTAAAAACTGGTTTATTATCCTCAAATTTATCTAACCTATCTCATCCTCCTTAAAATCTGAGGAAACCAACATAAGAGTAACTAAAGTATTTTCAAGATTTGCAGAGACATCCAATTGCCAGCTTTTGCAGCGTTCTGTCCCAGGCCTCCTGGCACAGTGCCTAGAAGTCTGCAGGCACTGCCATAAAGCTGCAGTTTGCACCTTGGATTCCAGTAGTGCCTCCTCAGACAGATCACCCTGAGAAAGGGGAGCAATTACCCCATGACAGGAACTGAGGTTGTCTTCTAAGCAGGAGCAATGAGCTCCTGGGAACTAGATTGCCCCCTCAAGCAAAAGGACTTCTCCAGGGTCACCTCGAAGAACTAGTCCTGAGATGGTGACCAACCAGACCCTAGCCCACCCCAGCAGCCCAATGAGAGCTGGCACATTCTTTTGTTAACAGGCATGTCTGATTTCCTCCATCCAACCTGGGTTCTCTTCAGCTCTTCTCAAGCTAAAGTCCCTCCCCCATTTTCTCTTCCTTCTCAATTAAAAGCGTTTGCCTGTAAGTTCATGCTCTTTTCCTCATTTTAATTTCTATCACCACTGAGATACAAGTTCCCTTGATTCCATTGTCATATATACATTGGTAAATATTACAAAAATACTATCCCAGCCACTAATATGACATAGATGATCCCAGATTTACAATGGTTTAACTTATGATTGTTCAGCTTTAGGGTGGTTCAGAAGTGATAACATTTAGTGGAAATCTTATGTCCACTACAATATGTGTGTTCAATGGACTGCATTTTTTTATTTATGGTAATTTCAACTCACAATGGGTTAAGTGGAACATAACCCCATTCTAAGTTAAGGAGCATTTGTATATATTTTTAAATGTTAATAAACATTTTTATTTAAAATTGTGATAAATCTTTTAAGTTTTCCTGGAATTGCCTGAATGTATACCACACACTACACATTAAGTAGCTAATAAATGAAAAGAAATTCCAAGAAGGCCATTGTCTCCTCCTTTAACTAGTCACTAAAGTTGGAGGTGCTTGCCTTCTGGTTTCTATTAGCTCCTGGGCCCCATAGAAGGCATGGACAGGGAGAACCTTGAAGTTGGATATTTCTGGAGCCCCTCATAATCCCTTTATTTGCTTTTTCTCCCCATGACCCCTGGTCTGCAGGGGTGAGCAAAATGTGGTACAGTTGGGTAAATCAAAGTGCTACATCTTTAGGTCCAGAGGATGAACTTCCATCCAAATGTGAAGCAAATCATCATTAAGCAAAACCTGGAGGACAGTAGCAGCTATCACCAAAGGAAAAGGGCTCTGTTCTACTGACCGTGTTCCGTGGGAGGCAAGAGGGTTTTGCTGATGATGCAGCCTGTCTAATGTCACAGCATTTCTCAGTTGTTGTTGTTGTTGTTTTTGCCAACAATTCTCCATAAGAAATGTATTTTATAACACAGCCCAGTATATACACACATAACTCTCTATACATAAATAACTGAAACAAAACTTTCCCAAATCAATACTCTCTCCTCTTTGAAATGCACCCTGATGTTTTTCTTATCTTTCACTTTGCTCTATTTGTCTTAATTTTTTTTTTTTTTTCAGTACTGGGAATCAAACTCAGGACCTTGCATTTTCAAGGCAGGTGCAGCGCCATGGAGCTAAATCCCTGGCCCTCTTCTTAATTTTTTAAAAGGTTGTTCAAACAGAAAATAAATCAGTAGATTTCAGGGATTATGAACAGGATGTGGTAGGTGATATCTTTGAAATGAAGGAGAAATTCAGTGTCTAGATTGGGGTGGTGATGGTGGTTATATCAATCTTTGTGTGGTAGAATTATATTTGCACACAGAAGTGTGCATATCAAAACTACAGAGATCTGAGCAAAGTTTGTAATCTGTAGCAGTTAAATACATGATGGCATGGTCAATTTTCTGTTGTTGTTGATAATGCTTTGCTGATATCATAAAGTTACAATCCATACTTTATAACTTAAGTACTATTTCAACAAGGGTGGGCATTGGATTAACAAGCAGCGGTAGGTATACAATTTGGTTTTTCTGAAGAAATAACCTATGCAGACCAATATTTGAGCTGGTTGGAACTCTAAAACTTTAACTCCTGTTAACAACCCAGTGGTGTAGGATTGCAAAGGATTGTATGAGTAGAAAGAATTGTGTTCTGTTTTGCTCGTGTTGGCCTCTAAATACCCTGCCCTATCCCGCTCTCTATTTTTGAAGAGACAATGCTCCTCTTTTCGCCCCTCAAGACATTAGGACCAATGCTTCTCAAGTCATCAAGAGCATTTGCTAAAACTACAGATTACTGGTGCTCCCTTGATTTTCTTAGATTCTTTGGAGGGAGAGCTCAGAAACACGCATTTGGAACAGGCCCCTCAGAAGATTTTTATACACATCAATTTATCAGAAAGCTTGGACAAGTTTGCTAAAACTAAGTGGATGAAAATTCAAGGTGTCAACTACAATAGCCATTGGGAAGTAAATTTGAACTTGAAAGTTCCTCTATTGTGAAAATACAATTTCAGAGTGGCTTTCTTTCTAACTTCCATGCTTTTTAAGTAATGAAGTTTAAAATGTTAACATAAGCCAAGTTTTCTACCCTTTATAGCAAAAACATTAGTGACTCAATTTCTTCAAGTGTGAGGACAAAAATTCCAGTAATCTCCCTAATTCATAGCACTTCTGTAGATAATGACCATTTGTTCTCAGATGGAAGTAATTTCATTTGCATAAGTGGATGAATGTTTTATAAACACAGGCACATGTGTTTCATATTCTACTCATATTTATTTATATGTTCGGTAAACACATTTGTACATAAAGCCACATGGACATTTTCAGGGGAGCACATGGAACACTATACACAAGTAAATGCCACAGTTGTTGCCTTGGGGCTTTTCCTCGGGTGGCAAATCAGTTACTACCTGATGGCTCTCATTGACATCCCTACTAGCTTTTCCCAGGAAAAAAAAAAAAGTGCCCTGCAGTGAGGCAGGCTCTGGAATTTTCCTCTACTTCCTTCCTCACCTTAGAATGTCCTGCCCTCTTAAGGCTCTGATTTATTGGGAAGAAAACGCATCCAAAGTGTTCTCAGTTTCTAATAAGCTAATATTGTAGCCTTCTCAGAGAACATATTTCTTAACTCCTCAATACCAGAACTTAATGAAAAGGGGTTAAATTAGAATGATGAGGTTGCTACTTTCTGCCATGTAGATCTTACAGCTCCCTCTATTAAGTCTAAAGACTTTGGACGTCCTTGAGGTCAAGTTAAAATAAAGCTACCCCTGAAAGTCAGACTTGCAAGAGCATAAAGGGGGTGGAGCGGTGGTGGCAGGTGGTCTGACATCTCTTCTGAGCCTCTCCTTTGAGACTGAAATAGACCCAAATGTTCTCTTGCACCAGAGACAATTGATTGACTACAACCTTGTGTCTCCTGGGCTAAATTGGATTTTTTGCTACATTCTCAATATAATGTCAGAAGGAAAAGAATGTCAGGTAAGGAATATGTTATTTATTTAAATATCCTGTTTTAGTCTGGTGACTATGTGATCTTTTTTCCCCTCTCATTAAATTTAAACCTGTTTTCCTCATAGCAAAAGCAATTATAATACCTGTCTTCTGCTGAGCACTCACTCTGGCCAGGTATGTGCCAAGTCCTCACATGCAGCTTTCCAAAAGGCCTGTGAGATTGGTAAGGTTGTCCTCACCTTAGATGAGAAGACAGATGTTCAGAAAGAGTCAATAGCTGACTCAAATTTGAACATAATTAGTAGCTAAGCCAAGATCTGAACCCAAACTTTATGTACTGGATAGTGCTCCCTAAACTTCATGTGCTTTTCAGAACCTCAGAACAGAACTTTGTTTGGAAATAGGGTACAGATGTAGTTAAAGCAAGGTCATCCTGGAGTAGGGTGGGCCCTAATCCAGTATGACCAGTGTCCTTATTTTTTTTTGGTACTGGGGATTGAACTCAGGACCTTGCCCTTGTGAGGCAGGCACAGTGCCACTGAGCTAAATCCCTGGTCCCTGGCCAGTGTCCTTATAAGAGAAGAGAAACAGATACACAAGGAGAAGACCACCTAATGGTGGCAGAGCCAAGGGTTGGAGTGAGGAGGATTGCTGCTAGCTCCAGAAGCCAAGATAAAGGCAGGGGACAAATCATCTCCAAGAGCACTGAGAGAACATGGCTCTGTGAACAGCTTGATTTCTGACGTTTTGCTTCCAGAACTATGAAACAATACATTTCTGTTGTTTTAAAGACATAGTCTATGGGACTTTCTTACAGCAGCCATAGGGAACTAGTACAATCCATGTACCTTACCATGAGCCATATACCTTACAATATGAGAATTGCAGAAATTTTGGAAAACAGAGAGAATTTGCAAAGTGGTCACGATTCCATATTCCAGAACTAGTTGCTGTATTCAAGTTTTCTTCACTTCCTCTTGATGGCCATTCCATCAATTTCTGCTTTTCAAAATAGAAGCAGCCCTTTTATGTTTTTTCTTCTATTTTGTTGTTTGATCAACTGTATTCTTTGTGGGATATGCTTTTATAACAATGATGATGGCTGAAAACCCCAGAATCCTTTGTTTTTTACCCCACCTCTACCACCACCATCCTCATCATTTTAGGTCATTGAAATAGATCCAGTTGAGATGAGAGGCACATCTTTGATCTGGAACAATGGGGCTAAAAATGAAACAGTTGTCTACAGTGAGATTCCCAGAAGATGGCAGTGTGGAGCATAAAAAAACCACACAATCCACACAGCTCTACTAAACTACCAGTTTGTGAATCCTTTTGTACAAGCAGCACACATGGGCTCCAGGGCCTTTGCAAATGATCCTGAAAATATCAGACATGGACTATCTTGAGAGACAACTTGGAATGATCATTTTCCATCTTACAAGGTCTTTTCTTCTTGTTAAAGAAGGAAACATTTAACGATATCTAATTTGCAGTTCAGACACTAGAGATTTTTGTTACACATATTTCAATATATCAACTGTAATCTCTGTATCCTATCCTCTTCTGAGCTGAGTTTCAAGCAGGCATCTCAATTCTAGTATATTTAGATTATGGATTTTAAAAAAAGAAGGACTGAAAAAGAATGAAATGGAGCTAGTTTAGAAGTAGTAAAGAAAGAGGGCACCAAGATCTAATTCTTTAATGTGTACTGACTCGGTGATGCTGATGTGTACATTTAATCTCTCTGATCCTAAGTATCATGTGTACTCATTTGTTTTGCCTTAGTTTTTCATGACCACAAGATCTGCTATGCTGATTCTGCACAGTAGTACCCAGCTCAAATGAGAAAGACACCCAGAAAAGCAAAAGTAATCCTGAATAACAAGAGCAAAGCAAGAGGCATCACAATACCAGATTTGAAGTTATACTACAAAGTTACAGTGATAAAAACAGCATGGTGCTGGCACAAAAACAAACACGTGGATCAGTGCAACAGAAGAGAGAAAGCAGAACCAACAGTAGGCACGTTAAACCATCTGGTCTTTGACAAAGGGGCCAAAAGCATATGCTGGAAGAATGATAGCCTCTTTAGTAAATGATGCTAGGGGAAATGGCTGTACATACACATGCTAAAGGTTGAATCTAGACTGTATGTCTCACTACACACCAAAATGAAATAAAAATATTTCAAATATCTAAATATTAAAACAGAAACACTTAATCTCCTGGAAGATAAAATAGATAAAACTCTTGAGGACTTAGGCAAGGACTTTCTGAACAAAACTTCAATGGCACAAGAAATAACATCAAGAATGAACAAATGCAAATGTGTCAGATTAAAATCTTCTGCACAGCAAAAGAAACAACCAACAAAGTAAAGAGACAACCTATAGAATGAGAAAAAATTTTGCCAGCTACTCCTAGGAAAGAGGTCTAATATCTAGAATACATAAAAAAATTAGACTCCCCCAAATAAAAGACCCAATCAATAAACAGGCAACCTAAATGAATAGACATTTCTCAGAAGAAGTACAAATCACCAATAAATATATTTAAAAAGTTCAATTTTTATGCCCTTTAGAGAAATGCAAGTTAAAATAACATTAAGATTACATGATATTCCAGAGAGAATGGTTATCATCAAGAAATCAAACAATAACAAATGCTGGTGAGGCTTCAGGGGGAAAAAGGAAATCTTCTACATTGTTGGTGGGAACGTAAACCAGTATAACCATCATGGAAATCAGTATGGAGATTCCTTGAAACACTAAAACTAGAAATTTCATTTGACCCAGGTATTCCCCTTCTGTGTATCTTCCTGAAAAAGTTAAAGACATCATATTAGTATGATACATGGATATCCAGGTTTATAACAGCACGATTCATAATAGTTAAATCTTGGAAGAAACCTATATATCCCTCACGAGATGAACTGGTAAAGAAAATGTGGTATTTACACATAATGGAGTACTACTCTGCCATAAAGAAAAATAAACTTGAGTCATTTATAAGACAATGGATGCACCTTGAGACAATAATGTTAAGTGAAATAAATCAGGCACACAAACTTAAACATCATGTGGCTTCTCTTAGATGAGAAACCCAAAGTATTAATAATTTAAAGGGCAAAATAAAAGATAGATAATAGGAAATAGGGAGATAGGTGTTTTGCAAATGGGAGGGGGACCAAGAGATAGAGGGAGAGGGGAAGGATGGGAGGGGAAGAGGCCATAAAAAGAATTAAGATGTGTTATGTACATGTACCAACTGCCCATGGTGAATGTAATCATCATAATACTGCAAACATGTTTAAAATACCTACAAAACCGTATTTCTAGAATCAAATGTTATTGTCATGAGTGTGGCCTATCAGTGAGTTTTCAAACCCTACTGTGGATCAGAATCACCTGGGGAACTTATTAAAACATGGAGTACTGGGCCAGGGATTTAGCTCAGTGGTTTCGCCTCCTGCTGCTCAAGCACAAGGACCCAAGTTTGATCCCTGCTAAAAAACAAAACAAAACAAACAAACAAACAGAAAACATGGAGTATTGGGCCCTCCCCTAGAGAATCTGCTGTCCTAACACTTTCTCTGTGATGGTGATGCTGGGGGGGGGGCACCTTGAGAACCACTTAGCTAGAGTGATGCTAAGAGGATTGGGTACTTTTGACACCTTCTATGTCTCAGAAACTCTTAGGCTACATTTTTCCACAAAATTAGGAAAGTCTTGCAACAAAATTTAAAAATGCTGACCTAGGGCCAAGGATTTAGCTCAGTGGTTCCACTGCCTGCCCTGTAAATGCAAGGACCTGAGTTCAATCCCCGGTATCAAAACAAAACAAAACAACAAATGCTGACCTATTCTTCATTACAGGTGTGTAGGTATTTGGTGCAAGTGTGGGTGTGTCTTCAATGTCCATGTGTGAATCAAGACATTTCCTGTGGGTTCAAGTGTTTTCTCTTCATGATGCATACACATCCCGCTCACCATTGCTATGGGAGCTGGTTGGCCCTTGGGATCCCCTCAAAGCCCAGATGAGAAGCTACATGAGGGACAAGACCTCTCTTCAGACTATTTCAAGAGGTAGCTGTATCTGGGTCACTGCTGGTATGGCAGTCAGTTACCTAACTCTATTTTTCCTTTAGTACCCAACATCAACTAATATCTTTTTTCCTTGTTTATTAGGTTTAGTTCTTGTTTAGTCTGTGTCTCAGTTCATTTTCTGCTGCTGTAACAAAATACCTGAATCTGGATAATTTATAAAGAATAAAGGTTTATTTAGCTCATGGTTCTGAAGGCTGGGAAGCCCAAGAGCATAGGGCAGGCATCGGCTCAGCATCAGGTGAGGGCCTTTTGGTAGTATTTTCTTTTATTTTTTGGTACCGGGGATTGAACTCAGGTCCTTGCGCTTGCGCAGCAGATGGCGAAACCACTGAGCTAAATCCCCAGCCATGGTGGTATTTTCTCTGCAAATTCCCAAAGCATTACAGGACATCACATGGCAAGACAGAACAAGTATGATAGCTGGGTGTCTCTTTGTATAAAGCTGCTAATTGCATGATGAGGGCCTCACTCTCATGACCACATGTAATCTAATCCCAATTACTTCCCAAAGGCCTCACCTCCAAATACCATTAAAATAGAACTTTGGGGATTAAGTTTTCCATACAGGAAGTTTGGAGGGGAAACCTTCAAAGCATAGCACTACCTACCTTTTTTTCTTTCCTCCCCAAATATAAAGAACAAGGAGTGTTAGTCACTTTAATATGTCCCAAGAACAATGGCTGCCAAATAATAGGCACACAGATATTTTGTTTAATACACAGATAAATATTGGTAGTGCTCTTTCTACCCAGCCACTGAGGATTTGGTGAAGCACATTTATCAGAGCCTGATTAACACCTTCTAGAACCATGTGAAGGATGCTGCATCATTTTGGCAAGTCACATAGTGATAATAAAGAACTACAAAATCCAGGTATTTGGAAAGAGAACCCAAACCCCTTACCTATCTTAAATTAATCAAAATTTACATAATTTGACCCAGAGTTAACCAATGTCAATGAACATGGAATTATAGAACCAAAATAGTTAGTGCCAGAAGAGACTAAGAGACTCACTAAGTCCCAGTGTTTTACAGTTGAGGAAACAGAAAGCCCTTGCTGCCCACTGCACTTGTCTGAGGAGTAGAGAACCAAATCTCCTCTCTGAGGCCAGAGTTCCTGTGTAGGTTTTCTCTCCAACTCCCTGAGGTTGTGGAGCACAAAACAGCATCCTCCAGTAAGCATGAGAAGATGTGATCCAAATGAAAATGCGTGATGGCCAGAGAACAGCACCCAGTTTGCATGGATGGCTCACCCATGTCACTTTGTAGACTTCAAAATAACGCAACCTGCATTTGACACGGGTTTTGGTTCACACATAGAGAATGTGGTAGGGCTTACTGTATTTAGTTTTTACCAATATTCCTACATCTTCCACATATTACAGATTCTGAGGTTGAGACTATGTGGCTATTCTCACCAGTCTGACACTAGGTTTTTCTTCTTTTGTTCTGTCAGTTATTTTCTGGGGTTTAAATTATTTTTTAATTTTTATTAATACATGTTTACAGTACATAATGATTATATTCACTGTAGGGAATTGGTTAGTACATGTACATAACACATTTCAATTCTTTTTCCCCCTTCCTTCCACTCCCTTTTTTTCCAGCATCAGATTCATTCATTTTATAAGAACTTATAAAGTTAGTTATCATATATACAGACTGAAAACCAGACTAATAGGCCAAAGAACATATAAGACATGTAAGACAATTGAACTTAGTCAAGATACACTTTTAGATAATTGTCCAAGGTGAATTACAATACCTTTTTTCTCTCCCTCTTTTTCCTATTATGTTTTTTATTTCATACTTTATATATATATTGAGTTTTTCATATAAGAGAAACCATGCAATATTTAAGTTAGTTTGCCTGAGTTACTTTACTTAAGATTATGATCTCAAGGTGCTTCTATTTTCCTATAAATGACTCAAGAGTACCCTTCTTTGTGGCATTGCATATACATACATTTTCTTTATCCATCCATTGATGGACATATAGGCTGTTTCCTAGATTTAGGTACTGTGAATTGATTGCTATAAACATGGATATACATATATCACTGTGGTATGATGTCTTTAACTCTTTTGGGATGATACCTAAAAGGGGAATAGCTGGGTCACATTGAATTTTTATTTTTAATTTTTTGAGGAATCTCCATACTGATTTTCATTGTGTTGTATTAGTTTACATTCCCACCAACACTGGAGAAGTGTTCTTTTTCCCTCACAGCCTTTCAGCATTTGTTATTGGTTGATTTCTTGATGATAGCCATTCTTTCTGGAGTAAGATAGAATCTCAGTGTTGTTTTAATTTGCACTTCTTGAAAGGCCAGCAATGTTGAACATTTTTTCATGTATTTATTGGTCATTTGTATTTCTTCATCTGAAAAGTGACTATTCATTTTGGATGCCCGTTATTTAAGTGGGCCTTTAAATTTGGGGGGTCTAATTTTTTTCAGTTCTTTATATAGTCTAGATATTAGTCCTTTGTCTGAGGAGTAGCTGACAAAAATTTTTCCCCATTCTGTAGGTTATCCCTTTACTCTGATGGTGGTTTCCTTTGCTTTGCAAGTTATCATTAGGGTTTTGAAATGAAAGTGATCATAGATTTAGGAAGGGTGATTCAAGACAATGATTAAAGAACAGCATTTGCAAATAGACCAGGAAGATTCAAAAGTAAAGGCTCAAATGAAGATTTAAAAGACAGAAGCTCAGAGAAGGTATAAACTGAAGAAAATGGATGTGGCCACCCAAATAAATGCTCGTAAACTCCAACCAGCTAAAAGGCATCATTATAGAATTAACCTCCCTTGTATGCTGGCAATATGTCAGACAACTTTCAATTCCCTATCTGTGTAGAACATACTTGGTTGAAGCACATGAAGTTGCCATTTTTATAAGTGAAAACTGTTTGTATAACAGTAATATTGATATAGGGGGGAAAGATGTAACTCCCAAACCTACTAGATATCCGAAACTCGAGTTCATGTTCTCTAAAATCAAAGAATGAATTCTAGGAACAATGGAGGCTAAGAGTAGGAAAAATTTACTGGGAGAAAGAAAGCTTCTGTCTAAGAAAGACAGAAGGGAGACTGGAAAGTGGGTTGCCCACCCACCCTATTTTTCAAAGATGTTTTATACAGCAAAGCCATGTGGCGAGGTGGGTACAAAGTGGGACAAAACTACAAGACCCAATGGAAATTTACAAGGTGGGCATGAGGTGGGACAGAACCATGACCAACCAATAAGATTACAAGTACAGTCACCCAGGTAGTATTGATTAAATGGGG